CTCACCGGCCCCTTTCCCCGCGGTGGTAGAGGACCGACTTTCTGCCGGACAAGCGCGCGGTAAGCAGGGCTCGTCCCCTGAGGAAGGTGCCTCCTGCTGCTTATCGGAAGGTGAGCGGGGCCAAGGCGAGCTCCTTGTGCGGTGTGAGGAGTAGCCGGGAGGCCTCCGGACAAAGGAGGACCTTCTCGAAACCTGCCATGGTCCCGGCGCCCCTCGGGCTGTGGAACTCCCCTCCCTCCCTCCTTCCCTCCCTCACAGAGACAGTCCCCAGGTTCTCAGTGGCGTTTGTGTAAGCCAACGAAGAAAACGCTATCGGTTTGTAGAAATACACCGTTTCTTGACGTTTGAATTCCTCCTCTCTCGCTAGGGAGCAGACCTGCCGTGACAGCACTGCTCCAAAATAGAGCTGGTCACAGCAGGCATCGGCCGCAGCTCGCCCCTGTGTGAAGCCTCGAACAAAGTTCTGACGAGATGTGCGGTGCGAAAAGTATATCATTAACATTTATTGGACTGCTTTTCAACTGCCTGGAAGCGGTGAGTGCAATTCATTTGTTTTAAAACTTTTCAAGAATGATATTGTACTCTTTGTAAAAGCAAACTAAGAGTTAGGATAGAGACTATGACATTCACTTCTACGTTTGTATTTTGTCACTATTACACTTGTGTTTATGAGTGACTGAAAAATAAAATCTACATTGGGACCCAAGGTCCTTCGAAGTCTGTCAACGACTGAAATCAACAGATCAATAAGCAGATTCAGAGAGGAAAATAAAGTCATATGATCTGCATAGCTGTGACCAATCTCATTGGTTGTATAAACTTCCATGCTTAAAGAATCTGAGCAAATACCTCATTAATAGTTTTTTTAAAAATGTAGTATTTTAAGTTGCTGTTGTTACTAACATTATTAAGTCTTTACTTAAAAAAAAATCATTTTCTGTTTATAATTTTTTTACATCTTGCTTTGCAGATCTTTTCAGCTAACACAGGTAAATCTTCCAAATGGTATTTTGGTTTTGCATGCTTATTTTTGAACGGGTCTGAAGAGAACACACACACATATGTGATTTCTATTAAAACATTCCATAAGTTCTAGCAGCATTCTAAACAAAACTTGTTTTCAAGTTTGATTGAGCTTTAAAAAAATAAAATCTATATTGATATCTTTATGATTTTTAAACATCATTTTTAGGAGCACAAATTCTATCAGACACATTTTGTACTTTCTTCAATCTCGTATTTTGTGCCTAGAGCTAGTATTGTCTTAAATGTGAACAGACTAGTTATCACAGCATGGCATTCTGAAAGCAAGCATCAGTTATTACAGTGATGAATGGATTATAAAAGCTAACAAAGGAAATAGCACTCCATAGTCAGTGGAATGCCTGTCATCTGAAAATTAGGTGATGTAGATGCTTGATAAGGCACTGAACTATCTTCTTGTCGTGACTAAATTCAGGAATGAGTAAAATGAGGTTTTGATAGTGATTTTTTTGTTTGTTTGTTTTAGTTTTCTCTATGTCTATATGCGATGTGCCATCACACAGCATTTGTGTTTGATGGCCCAAATTTTCGGGAGCCGCCTCTTGCAGAGTCACAGCGACAGCTGTGAATACTGTAGGCCATTCATAACTGGCTTATTTTAGTGGTGTAACACTTGAAGGATCTCTAACTTTATACTCGTCTTTGCTATACAAGCAGAACAGAATTATTCTTGCAGAAACACTAATTATGCAGTGAACAGGTTATTAAAAGAATCTTGGTGAAGGTTCATTTCCACTGACCTCTGTAGGAGTGGGATTTTATCCTTGATGTTTCATTGTATTAGTAGGGAATAGCTACCATTCCTGTTGAAGCCTTTTGCTAGGTCTCCTACTCAGTTCAATATTAGCATGATTACCTCCTTTTCCCCTCTGCTTTTTTCATTAAATATGTGTTTCCTTGAACAGCCATGCACAGTTTGCTCATACTGCTGCTCTCCAGATCACCTGCTCTTTCATTACAAATTCAGATGTGAAGCTATATACGTTTTACAGTACTGACACTGATAAACAGTATTTGTGTTTCAGTCACAAAAGGATTTGTAGCATATAAGTTGTTAATGGATATTGAAGAAGAATCTACATGAACAGATGTGAATTTTTATTTAGTCACCAAAAGGTAATTTAAAAAAGATTCTGTTAGAATTCTGGTTTTAAGATAATTTGATAATTTTTAGAAATAGCCATTATTTTTCAAGTAGAATTTTTTTAAAAAATTTTAAAAGTAATTATTACAATAAAAATTGAAAACTAAAAGGTAGTAGAGTTTATCCTGATAAGTATAAAAAACCCTATATTGCTAGCTTAGTTGTGGAAGAACAGATATTAATGATTAATGTTCTGTAATTTATTTCTGATATAAATCATGTACTATATATTCTCTCTATCACTAGACAAGCAGCTCCCTTAGACTTGCATAAGGTTTTCTTGCACAGAAGTTTTAAAATTAATTGTTCCTAAAGACAAAATTTTAAAAAGGAAAAAAAAATCATGGTGCAATACCTTGCTCAAAGATGGCAAAAGGTGCCCCGGCAAATGTTCCATGGGCGTGGTCAATGTCCTGGTTTGAATTAGAATATATAGAATATTACCATTTTTACAACTGGGGCAGAAGAAGGTGTCTGGCTATAGCTGGACAGAAAATGCTTGGGACTAGGAGACCAGGCATAACATCCTGTATAAGCCATGTATAATACTTGCAAGGGTCTCTGAAATCCCAGATTAGTTGCCCTGCTATAAATAAGTTTGCCTCAGGGCACAGATACTTTTTCATTCCTTCTCATAATTTCAGGTGGGACATACTTTCATTTAATCTTTTTTTTTTTTCTTCTAGTGATTTTTTTGCAGCCTTGCAATGTGTGGACCTGCTTTACATAAGCTGATGCTAGTCTGAAAAACCTGATTGGTGAACATAACTTACTAGTGGTTAAGAAATACACCCTCTGTAGTTATTTTGTGACTACAATACACAACAGCTGAATACTGAACAGCCTGCAGCATAGCATAATAGGAAAACATTTCACTGCAGTATTTGGTGTGTCATGTTGTATCTCTCTGATATCTGCTCTGAGCAGTGAGTTGGGTAAGATGAGCCTCCATGCTCTCTTCCAAACTATATTTTGTGTTACTGGGCTTTGTGTTTCACAAGGCTGAGTTTCCCTACTTCAGTATGTCTGTTGTTTCCCTTTTAGCTCCAGACATACCTCATACTGACCCAGCTTTTACAAAACTCAGCACCAGTATCACAGCAGAATGGAGAGCGGTACCTGGGGCTACTGGTTACAGGCTGACTGCGCAAGATGGAGATTCCTTCACTGAAACTGTGAGTCTGGTTACAAATTCTCCAGGCACAGTGACAGGACTGGAACCTGCCCCTTTATACAGAGTCAGTGTCAGATCTGTAAATTCAGGAGGGAAAAGCCAGCCTTTCAGAAAAGCAAAAACAGGTGGACGTTCAAATTCTTATTCTTGTTTCAAATTCCATAATGTTATTATAATAGAAAGCATTCATGCAAGTGTCCTTTCCTTTTTTTTTTTTTTTTTAAATTTGATCAGAAAATAAATGGTGTAGCCAGCCACTACTGAATTACTATAATCTTGTATTCTAAATTGTATTGATCACATTCTCCTTTCAGTTTTTGAGGACTAGAATTTGGCCATCTGACTTAGTGACCAGGATAAGAGTCTGAATTAATAGTTTACTTTATGGCAGTACTCTAAGTTAAATAAATGTTCAACAGAAAGTTTCAGCAGAATTCACTAGAACTTTTATCAATATATGTATTTTATTTTAGCAAAACAGAATTTTATTTTAACAAAAGACATAACTTGAGGGAATAGAAGAAATGAAGAATCAAAAAGTATAAAATAATGAGAATGTAAAACTCAGAGGACAGGAAATACAGTATCTCCTTGGTTACTTGCATTCTTCTACACACTCAACCTTTCATACTTTGTGTATGAATTACACTTATTTTACCAAATCTGTAATATCATAATGGATGCGCCACATTTATTTGCCATATTTATTCTGTCAGTTTTGCATTAATTTATTTTTCTGGTTTTGTTGTGACTGAATTTATCTCTCAGAGTTTGGTGATGGTTGTTTCTGTGTCTTCATGTCAAGTTTGGTCCTTTCAAACAGTGCTACTGAAAAACCAGGAGCATAACTGGTGTTCTTTCTCAGCAGCCCTGGCTGTTCCAGTTCTGTCTGTTAGTTCTCTGAGTTGTGACTCCATCCCAGTGAGCTGGAATCCTGTGTGTATGGCAGCTGGATTCTCTGCATCCCTCAAGAGATCAGATGGTTTGGGCAGAATGCTGAATGAGAACACCACTAATATTCCCTTGATATTTACAGGTCTAGTCCCAGGAACTCTCTATACTTTCAAGGCATATGCTTGGAGTGTCAGTGGGATACTTGGAGATGATTTCACCTATAACCAAAGAACAAGTAAGAAATTTTCTTTTCTGAAACCAAGTAACCATTTATATATGTATATATATACACACACACATACATACCAGGAAATATTTATGTGTATTTGTGATTGTGTTACGTTTTTCAAAGATACACTGGGTAGGTTTTCAGATTATTTATTTTTTACTGGATGTCAAAGTTCATGAAAGCTCAGATGAGGTAGCTGTGTTTGATGGCTATTACTGAGGAAAAGATACCTTTAAATACCAAGTTATAGTAGGGGAAGCCTGGGTGAGGACTACAAAGGCTTCGACTGATTTGAGGATTTTTCTAACTGTGAGAAGCTTACTCCAAATAAGAACTTACTTCAAGTAAGGCAGGGAGTTACAACAGAAATCTTTGTGATGGTGTACAACTAAAACTATATTTTTAAAAAATTGTCACTTTAATATGAATGAGGGTAAGTTCTGCATCACAGAAAGTGTATTTAGTTTGCAGGTTGTGAAAACAATCATGTCTGTAGGCTAAGTTGTATTTATGTGTTCCAAATTGGTGTACCATAGAATCACAGAATCGCTGTGGTTGGAAAGGACCTCTAGGATCATCAAGTCCAGCCTTGCTCCCAATATTCCCCTAACCACTGGACCATAGCCTCAAGTGCTACATCTTCTCATTTTTTTAATGCCTCCAGAGATGGTGACTCCACCACCTCCCTGGGCAGCCCGTTCCAGTGCCTCACAACTCTCTTAGTGAAGAAATTCTTCCTAATATCCAGTGCATCGTCAGATATTCAAGTGGCTTTTAATAGTGGTGCTTTAAGAGCTATTGTTTCTTGAATGCCGACAGAAGGAGCTCTAACTTAGACTGTGACAGCCTCCCCTGAACTCTTGAAACTGAAGTGTAACACATCTTCTGCCTCCTGCGTGGTGCTGTCACTCCATGCGGATCTGAATATGATGTTTCTGTCACAGCATACGGTGATGCTGGATGCAGTAAACCTACTAATGCAGTAAGCTTAAAAACTGGTATGTTCCATTCATCCTCATATAGCTTATGGCATTTTACTATCTATTTTTTCTTCATTTCAGATGTAAACATTACAGCTGTGGTTCTCAAATAGTTGTTCCTGCTTCTGCACTTCATGCATGAATTGAACCTTTCTGGTTTGGAGATAATAACCCGAACGTCTTTCATATTTCTGTGAGAAACTTTGCAGTAGTGTATGTAAGTGTTGGCTGAACCAGTAAGTGTGCATTTCCCTCCCAACAGAAGCAGCTGTTCTAAAGTAAATTTTTTTGAGTGTAAAATGAAGGTAAGAATAGTGGATCTGTCCTACTGTGTCAAGTCTGTCACAAATAGATCGGGAGTAATCTGTGAAGAAATAGCATTAAGGCTAGAGAACATTAAGGCTGAGAACTGTTGTAGGCTAAATGTAGCTGTTGGTTAGAAAGAAGGCAGACAAAACCACATTCAGCTGAAGTAGCACCACTAGACTAAATGAAGAGACCCGTCAGAGACCGTTCTCAGCCAGCGGCTGTGTCACAACAAGAGGTCACTCTTCTAAGCTGCTTCGCACGCGGCCGTGTCAGAGGTTATCGCTTCCTGACCTGTTGGATGAACTGCCCATGTAAGCAAAACTCTGTTTGTTATTATGTGCTACCTTAAAGACACAACTTTGTTTACTTAATTAGTTGGTGTAACCTGCCTTGTTTTGATTTTTCATTGATAGGAGTTTGAGATCATCCATGTGAGCAACTCAGAGGTGGATCTACGGGATGAGAGAGCCTTAAGCAAAAGACATCTTTTAAACTGTGGGCTGTAATCTGCTCAGCCAACTTCCCTTCAGCTACAGCATGTATATTCATTCTAATAGCAGCAACCTAAACTTTTTGAGCTAGTAAGAAAGTAAATATTGCCTAAAACAAAAGCCATCGAGTTCACAGTTTGATGTGACGTTTTAAGATGCCACCAGAAAGGAAACCTGAGCAGAGGACATCTCTATTTGGGCCCAGCTGGTGAGTCTCATTCTAATCTATAGAGGATTTTCACATAAAGACATCTGGATGCTGGCTGCTATTCAAAGCTAGTGTTCAGTTGTTGTCCACGACTACTAATTGTGAGCACAGACCGTACTAGTTCCTTGTGAAATATGGCCTGGTGCTGCTGGTTTTGTTCACAGTGGCTCCTTAAGCAGATCTCTTTTCTGTAAAACATGAAGCTAGCATCTATTTTGTTCTGTAAAAATCTTACTCTTTATCTAAATGTAAGTGGCATCTTCTGTAAAAGCAGGTAAGTTGCTTTTTTCTTGAACAAGACAGAACAACTGTTTAAGCCGACTAGAATAATTTCATATATTTCCTGATTTTCCTTTGTTCCTCAAAAGTATAACATTAATAAAAATATTCTGATTACAATTCCTTTTTTCTTTCTTTTTTTAAAAGGTGGGGTTTTTTTTAGTTTCTCGTGCACCAGTAAATATATCAATCGCAGAGAATGAACCTGTCCGCTTCTTGGTATCAGGGTCTGGTGTCAAGTTTGGTCATTATTAATGTGTTTTTTTGAAGCATGTTGATGGCTTGGAGGTGCACTGCAACACATCACACCCTCCATGCTGTTCCCAGTCAGACTGTGGCTTCACTTACTTCATTAGTGTCTTTGCCTATAACAAGTCAGGGCAGAGTCCCTTGGATCAAGTATTCAGTTACACTACTGGTAAGTACTAATATATTCTTGCTAATTCGTTTTGAGTCCTTTAACTGTGTTTATAGTAGAGCTGATTCGACATCTTTATTGGAAGATAATGATTTAAGCTTCTGTTTTTATTCCCTTTTGGGGCAAAGCACACAAAGGTTGGCAGGGAAGAAGAATCACTGCATGTTGCAGCTGAATTTAACTTGTGTACTCAAGCACAGCAGTGAGCTTACAAACTTGAAAATAGTTCAGTAATTCATAATCATTAGGCAGGACATGTGAATAACACACAGTCTTGGCATAATGTTTGAATTCTAGTTCTGTTGTATTTCATATTTATTTTCTATGATACCCTGCCTTAGGAAGGGTGTACCAAAGTCTCAATTAAACCTCCTCGTAAACGATGTTGATATTTGGAAAATGAAAAAACAATTTCAATGGCAAATTGTGAAGAACATTGTTAGAGTTATGTAACTTTAAGATTTTAATCCAAAGTTACACATCATTCCTGTGTCTTACCTATACATTAGAATGCCCTCTCATGTTTTGGAAGGAGAGGTGCCGAATTAAGTCGGGAAGTAAGTCTGGGGTTTGTGAGACTGCTTGCACAATATTGGTCGCCTTTGGCGATTTAAGACAGGGAGCAGACAGCTAAACGAAACAAGGCTCTTTGGTTTCAAGCCAGTTTGCAGCTGATACTCAGGTTTTCCTCCCTGCCTCCTCTGTTCCCAGCTCCTTGGTGCCCCAGAGACTTGAGGGCTGCGTTGGTGTGGAGCGACAGGGTGCAGGTCGCTTGGGCTCTGGTGCCGCCGCCGCCTGCAGCTCGAGGGCTCTGGAGTGCAGCAGCCGCTGCAGCATCACGGCTTATTCCCGCAGCGCGGCCGGGGCAGCGACACCTCCTCTGCATCCCACTGTGTGGCAGCAGGCATCGCCATCCTTCTTACGTCCCCTGGGCAGAAGAAAATAAGTGGGCCTCCTCACAGCAGACTGAGGCTTTGCTCCTGAAAGAACAAATGCTACCTCACCTGCCTCTTACAGGATCTGAAGCTGCAGAAGGAGCTTTCATTTCAGTGCAGGAAAGAGGGGACAGCCTTAATAAAACCCTCATGTTTGGGAAGAAACCTTTCCTTCATGTGTGGAAAAATACAATTAAACAAATCCCGAGTCATGTTTTACATGAGAAGTCCTCAAAGATGTTGGCATTTACCCTGGAAGCTGAGGGTCCCCCCAGAGAATGTTTAGGTTTGGTACTAGGAAGAGTGTCTTCCCCACAAGGGTTGTCAAGGCCTAGAAGAGGCTGCCCAGGGAACTGGTGGACTCCCCATCGCTGGAGGGATTTCAAAACCCTGTAGCTGTGGTGCTGAGGGTCATGGTTTAGTGGTGACCTGGCAGTGCTGGGTTGTTGGTTGAACTCAATGCTTGAAGGTCTCTCCCAGCCAAAATAATTCTATGATTCTAAAATGATTGGATGCTGCAGTGATGCATGGATGAAACACACCACTGGAGTGCTAAGTTACTGTAATAAATTTTAAAAAGTCTTTAAAAAAATATTGTATTTTTAAAAATACACTGTAAGCAGGGACCTAAAAAGAAATTTGGATTAAAAGCTTCTGATAGCTCCAAGTTTTTGAAAATGATATTTCAAAGTCTGCTTTGATTTTGTATACAAAATCCTTATGTTGACAGTTCTGTCACAAGTTCCAAACTCTCATCACCAGAAGTAAGGATCGTATACTTCTCTAAAGTAGTTTGCCAGTTCTAACTGGAGGTTAATTTTCATGTGCAGCTTACATAGTGAGTACAAACAATCTGTTTAAATACTGTTAATAAATATTTCAGTGCCCTGGAGTCCTGAAATTAAAGATCTCTCAAAGGAGGCTCTTTCTGTAATCAGTGTGCACTGTAACAGTGAAGAAGCTACATATATAGTCACTGCCAGAGGAGAGGCTGGGCTTTGGTATTACACAAACTTTGGGAATTCTCATGTTCCCTGATGAATCATCTCTGCAGATCTGCTTTCTCTGTTACTGCTATAGCAAGATCACTAGCAGGACAGAGCTTACCTAGCTACAGTGTCCCTTTAGAGACAGGTATTTGAGAATTGTAAATAGAAGAAAATATTTAGCAGTATAATATTTAAATAGTTCTATGTCTCTTTATATATTTTTGGCTTTTTTTAATTACAATGTGTGTATATTTATACTGCCTATTGCTGGATGCCCTCTGCTTAAACATGTATCTTTGTGTGAGAAGGACGGATCTTTTGGCACTTGTCTCATACTGAGAAGCCCTAGTGCAACCAATTATCATCTGGCACAGCTAATTAAAATATAAAAGGAGAAGCCACTCATGTAATGCGTAACTTCCTGGTCAGCATTTTGATTTTTAGTATGACTGGGAGAGGCAACAGGGTGATGTCCACATCAACAAATAATGTAAAGAACAGAGGAAAA